CTCTCCACAACTGATACTAACAGAAAATATTCCTTCTCTCTCTCCTCTAACTGATCACTGTTCTAATAAGACCACGCCATTACCCTTTCTCACATATACCCTTTCCCATCTTGAACCATGCCTCACTTCATGGGTTAGAGGCTTGTTGGGCCCATTTACTCTTTGGGTCCTCTCACTACTAGTATTTTTCTGTTACCCATGAAAGCAAGTTTCCCTTACAATATTCTAAGTAACTCGTAGAGATCATTTTCTTGGATGCGATTGAAGATATCGCTTCTTGGGCTCCTATTTCCCTCCTTCTACATTTTGTTTCATATTTCCTCAAATCACTCTGCATTGGGCTTCTTGGATTTCTCCGGGAAATCTCTCTACTATATCATAACCACAGGAAGAGATATTCCTATAGGGAAGCCTAATGGAGGCCTATAGAGAGATATTCTTGGATTTAAGCTCTCTATCTCAAAATGATTAATCTAATGGAGGCCTATAGAGAGATTTTCCTATAGGGAAGCCAGTCTGAACTGAAAATATCTAAGTATTTAACACAGACTTCTGAAAATTATAAACAGATTAGCATGGGATATTCAAAGGGAAAGAAAATTGTCACCCACAACAATTTAGAGCTCTGATCCAGTGAAAGCATGCCAGTTGGATTATATCACACTCAAAACAGAAATGGATAAAAGAAAAAACATGAAGAGTCTCAGTGCCGAATCAGTGGCATTGTCTGAAGTTTCAAGTAGTCAGATGGAAACTCTACACCCTCATTTTCTTTATCTCCAACATAAACCATAGTAATAGGGGAGGGGTTGTTTAACAAGCTACTCTTAGGTTGCTGCAAACAAGTAATACTTGGCAAGATAAAAATTACAATCTAGCCTTATTAGGGTCATGAGAAATATCTAAACAATATTTTCAGTCCAAAAAGAAAAATTAAGTAGGAAAATCCATATAAAATCATATAAGCATATACACATTCTCATTCTGGTGTGCATGACAGAATATAGATATTCCACCTGTTCAGTGAAAAAAAAAAAAAACACATACCAAGGCCGTCTAAGATATCTTGTGTAAGCCCTCCACTGTTAGAAAAAGGGTCTCCAAATCCGTTTTGCTCTTCAGAATTTAAGTAAAAACCTTCTGGCTGAAAGTTCTGATGTGTTTTTTCTCTTTTATTAGTACCAACCTCTATGTCTTCACTGAATACAACATCCCTAGATATATGCTTATCATTCATGATAGAGGCATCTGAATCACGTTGACAATGGGACTCAGCCATGTGGGATTCAACTGAATTATACCGCTCTGACTGTCCAGTTTTATTGGTAAATGAGTTCTCCATATGTGAGTTCTCTTGCATGTCAAAGTGGTCTGTGTTTCTCCACTGGAATTCTTTGGGGATAGAAGAATACCAAAGCTCATAGAATGTCAAACCCATCATCATCTTCAACACAGGATCAATATCAACTTTGTTTTGTTCAATACTGAAGGAGAAACCAAAAGACAAAAATAAATGGAAAAGAATAGAAAGAACAAGGGAATATAAAGAAAATAAATTAGAACCTGGTGACCCCCTTATAACACTATTTTTCAAACAATGACATGTTATTTAGTATTTTTGAAGTGGAAACCACCATTAGTGAAGGAAAACTATTTGTGAATGGAAAGTTCATATTAGAAGCCATTTCATAATACACTTCGGTGCCAAAAGCATAACACAATAATTTGGTCTTGTTTGACTTAATTCACATATATTTGGGCGTGTATCTAGTACTTAACTACGCCAGTAGGGTACTTACTAGGCAACCTAACCTATGTATATTGAATAAGATAGCAGAAAATAAATGAAACAAATTGCAATTATAATTGCCAGAGTATTGAAACTGTTATATTCAAACAATGCATCACTTGGGCACTTCTTGAATGATGAGAACTCTTAAAGCTAAGTGTCTATCTAGGACATCAGACAATTAAAGGTATCTTTAAAAGTCACCAATAGGAATAATCCATCCCCAAATTTCCAGGATGAGACCAATCCCAAATTCATCTTTGTCATTGGGGCAGTGTCAATCATTTCGAATATTGACTTTATGCAATTATGTTTGTTTTTCTACATTGATAAAACTTACCTACTATAAATACTAGTAAACAAGGGCAATATTAAGCAGCATCATTGTTAATTAGCTTGGATTTTATAACAGGCAGTCAAGTACCAAGGTCTCTGGAGTAATAGAATTAAGATACTATTCCAAACTCTCAAGAGGAATTGAACACCAATGATAATTACCATTACAACCTTATCAACCATTATGAGAAATTTAGGTTTTATTGAAAAACATACAACCCTGGTAAAAATATAATGACAATGCCAGGCAACCAGCTCACCACATTATTTAGTAATGAGAAGTTATGAAATTATCCACTCTTGGCATCATGGTTCAACACATAATATTCTGCGAAGAGAAACACATTAAAATTAAAATTACATACCATAAAGCAAGCTGGTATGCATCCCCTGCATTGCCTTGCATAAGACAGAAAAAAATGAACTCAAAGTGGACTGCGTATCTGCTCTGCTCCATAAACAAAATTCTACATTAAGAACTGAAGACGAAGCAAATCAAGCTTACAATTTGAATGCACAATCGATGTCTCAATTGCAAAATATAATTTATTTATGTCAGTGGAGAGTTTGATGAGATTGTTTGCAATGGAAATGGTAGAGCTTCCCACTAGCAAGTTTAAACATAACATGGGACCAAACATATTATCACAACCTGATTGCTATCATACAACTTGCACGTGAAAAAGTTAACAAGTTAATAATTTTGTTAGAATAATTATTAAGTCTACCTATGATTAGTATAGCAGGGCCTAAAGTAGGTAGTTGTGCGTTGGGTTATCTATAATGATTGTTCCTAGCAGTCTAGGACAATCTCTTCATCTTCTACCTATCTATTGTATCAGATTTTTATCTATATAAATAAGAGAACTGAGAAGGGTCTTCTAAGCCCTTTAAGAACTATTTTTCTCTGTTTTAGATCTAAAGTTGGTATCAGAGCAGGTTCATCCTGCTCTGGTTTCTGTCTTGGGTTGTCCACCAGCACTGTCACTGCTGTTTGCATCTGTCCGGTACCGTTCGCCGTTGTCCGCGGTCTCACCACTATCTGCAGCTGTCAACTGCAGTTTTGTAGTTCTTCAACTTGGTTGTCCGCCACCTCGCATCTGTCCCTTGCTGTCCATCGCCGTTCGCCATCGTGCGCCCCCGGCCGCCATCACTGTTCCGTCCGGCAACCACTGGATCTGGTTCGCCTCTTCACACGACAGCCAACCCCACCGGTGGGTTCGCCTGATTCTCCTCCACGCTCCGCCACGCGCCGCCTCTTTGTGCGCTACGAACAGACGCGTGTTGTCCACGCGCCGCCCTCTGCTCATCGGAAAGTCGCCGCGCCACCTCCATAGCTGTCACCCTCTGCTCCTCTGTCTGTTCTACCCCTCAAAATATTACTTTGGTGTGTCCAGAAGCTCCCCTTTAAGAAAACCCTAAGAAACCCCCTAGGGTTTTCTGGTTCTTCACGGTTTTTCTGGTTCCTTCTCCTCTTTTTATCAAAGAATGGCGTCTGGAAGTGCTCTTTCTTTCTCTGGAAGTCCCTCAATCACTTCCGAAAAGCTAAACGGAAAGAATTATCTATGTTGGTCTGCTGCTGTGGAAATGTGGTTCCTTGATCAAGGACATTATGACCACCTCGAGCAGGATGGAAGCCAAGTACCTTCTGACAAAGCTGAACAATGGAAACAAGCTGATTTCCAATTGTGTGCCCTATTGTGGCAATCTGTGGAACCCCGGCTTTTGATATCTCTTAGAGCCTTCAAGACATGTCACACTTTTTGGAAGAAAGCTCAAAGCATTTATGCTAATGATATTCAACGTCTCTATGATACCGCAAACAAGCTCGCCTGTCTCAAAATGACAGACCATGATATGGTTTCATTCATGACTGAAGCCCAAGCAGCTGTGGAAGAATTGAGAATGTTCTTGGAAGCGGAATCTTCAGAAGATATCAAAAAGAAGCTTGACAAGTATTATATGGTGATGATCCTCCGTGCTTTGCATCCAGATATGAATCATATCAGAGATCAACTTCTGACAAGTCATGAGGTCCCTTCCTTGGAAGCCTTGACCACACGTCTTCTTCGTGTTCCTGTGCCTCAGTCTCAGGAAGCTTATGAAACAATGGAACCATCTGTCATGGTTGCCACGCGAGGAAGAGGAGGACGTGGCACTAGAGGAGGAGGACGTGGAGGTCGGGGACGTCCACAATGCTCTTACTGTAAGAGGGTGGGTCACACCCAAGAAAACTGCTACTCCTTGCATGGCTTTCCTTCAAAAACCGTCAATATCTCTAAGGCTGAAACTTCCACTTCCAACTCCAAGTTCACTGAGGAAGAGTATCAAGAGTATCTGCGATTAAAGTCTAATAGTTTGGCGCAATCATCTCAATCCCCAAGTACGTCCACAGCTTGCATTTCTCAATCCATGGAAGGTCTAAATTCATGGGTAATTGACTCGGGTGCTTCGGATCACATTTCTGGTAATACCTCATTGTTCTCAACCCTTTCCCTCCAAGAAAAACCCCATTTCATTACCCTTGCAAATGGCTCTAAAACTTGTTCAAAGGGAGTCGGTCATGTCTCCCTGTCTCCCTCTCTAACTCTGAAATCTGTTCTTTTTGTCCCTAACTGTCCATTCAATTTAATTTCCTTAAGTCAGTTAACCAAAATGTTACATTGTTCAATAACTTTCGATTCAAAATCTTTTGTTATACAGGAGCGTGGCTCGGGGAGACAGATTGGAGAAGGATATGAAGCTGGAGGTTTATACCATTTTGGATCTCGTCCACGGGTATCTTGTGTCGCAGCTCTTCCCCCTAAAGTGTTACATGATCGGTTTGGCCATCCTCACTTGTCAAAGTTAAAAAAGATGTGTCCTGAACTTAGTGGTCTTCAGACTTTAGAATGTGAGTCCTGTCAACTAGGAAAACATGTTAGATCTGTCTTTCCAAAAAGGTCTCAATCAATGTGTACTTCTAGTTTCTCTATTATTCATTCTGATGTCTGGGGACCTAGTCGCGTCTCTTCTTTTGGTTTTAGGTATTTTGTTACTTTTATTGATGAGTATTCTAGATGTACTTGGGTTTATCTAATGAAAGATCGCTCTGAATTGTTACCCATTTTCACATCCTTTTTGAATGAAATCAAGAACCAATTTGGTCACGTAATTAAAGTCTTAAGAAGTGATAATGCTAAAGAGTATTTCTCATCAAATTTTTCTTCACTTCTTAGCTCCCATGGTATTTTGCATCAGTCCACTTGTCCTCATACACCCCAGCAAAATGGTATAGCCGAAAGAAAAAATAGACACTTGGTTGAAACGGCTCGTACCCTTTTGCTTGGTGCTAATATTCCTGTTCATCATTGGGGGATGCCATCTTAACTGCATGTTTTCTTATTAATAGGATGCCCTCCTCCTCTCTCAATCATAAAGTTCCTTTCTCCATTCTCTTTCCCAATGATCCTCTCTTTCACACCTCTCCTCGAGTCTTTGGTTGTGTTTGTTTTGTTCACGACATGTCTCCGGGGCTCGACAAGCTCTCTGCTCGTGCGATCAAATGTGTCTTTTTGGGCTATTCTCGGCTTCAAAAAGGGTACCGGTGTTACTCTCCTGAAACCAAAAAGTACTACATGTCTGCCAATGTTACCTTCTTTGAACAGACACCTTTCTTCTCTCCCTCTGTTCAAGATGTTCATATCCTCCACCAGGTCCTTCCTCTTCCAGTGGTTGAGTCTAATATCTCCAATGCCTCAGTCAATCCAAGTCATGCCCAAGGTCCTCCTGAACCTTCCTCTCCACATACTGATATCCTTCGACACAGTACCCCGGTGAGTAATCCTCTTCCAGAAAATGGTGGATCTCCTCCTTCAGATTCTTCTCCGTCACCATCTCCTGTCACGCCTCCTGGTGAAGATGATTTTGGTTGGCCCATTGCTCTCAGAAAAGGTACTCGTTCCACTCGAAACCCTCATCCCATTTATAATTTTCTTAGTTATCACAGAGTGTCGCCCTCCTTTTATTCCCTTTTATCCTCAGTATCTCCTGTGGTTATTCCTAAAAATGTGAAAGAAGCACTTGATCATCCTGGATGGCGACAAGCCATGATTGAAGAAATGCAGGCTCTTGACCATAGTCACACTTGGGAGCTTGTGCCACTTCCCCCGGGCAAAAAGGCTGTTGGTTGTCGATGGGTATATGCAATTAAAGTCGGCCCTAATGGTAACATTGATAGGCTCAAAGCCCGGCTGGTTGCAAAAGGGTACACTCAGGTTTATGGTCTTGATTATTGTGACACCTTTTCTCCCGTGGCAAAGATGACTACCATTCGATTGTTCTTTGCAATGGCAGCCATTCGTCATTGGCCACTTCATCAGTTGGATATCAAAAATGCCTTTCTCCATGGTGATCTTGAGGAAGAAGTTTATATGGAGCAACCTCCAGGATTTGTTGCTCAGGGGGAGTCTGGTATGGTTTGTAAATTGAACCGATCTCTATATGGGCTCAAGCAATCACCACGTGCTTGGTTTGGAAAGTTTAGCTTCATTGTTCAAAAATTTGGGCTAAAACACAGTGAAGCAGATCATTCAGTCTTTTATTATCATTCGTCTCCCGGGAAATGTGTTTACTTGATAGTATATGTTGATGATATAGTTATTACAGGAAATGATACTGCTAGAATATCTCAATTGAAGGAGTACTTGTGTAGACATTTCCAAACCAAGGATCTTGGGAGCCTCAAATACTTCCTAGGCATTGAAGTAGCTCAGTCAAAAGATGGAGTTGTAATCTCCCAAAGGAAGTATGCTCTGGATATTTTGCAAGAAACAGGCATGATTGATTGTAGACCGGTTGATAGCCCTATGGATCCAAATCAAAAATTAACAACAGAAGAAGGTGAATTATTCTCCGACCCGGAGAGATATAGGAGGCTAGTTGGAAAACTAATCTATCTCACTATTACAAGGCCGGATCTATCTTTTGCAGTTGGAGTGGTTAGTCAGTTTATGCAAGCTCCATGTGTTGGCCATTGGAATGCTATCATTCGCATTCTAAGGTATGTGAAAAAGGCTCCCGGGCAAGGGCTCTTATATGAAGAAAAAGGAAGTCTTCAGGTATCAGGATATTGTGATGTTGATTGGGCAGGTTCTCCTATTAATAGACGATCTACTACTGGATTTGGAGGAAACATTATCTCATGGAAAAGTAAGAAACAAAATGTAGTGGCTCGATCAACAGCTGAGGCTGAATATAGGGGAATGGCTTCATTAACATGTGAACTTATATGGGTGAAGCAGTTCCTTCAAGAGCTTAGGTTCTGTGACATCCAGAGTATGAAGATGTATTGTGATAACCAAGCTGCTCTTCACATTGCATCAAATCCAGTGTTTCACGAGAGAACTAAACATATAGAAATTGATTGTCATTTTGTTCGGGAAAAGTTATTGTCAAAAGAAATATGTACCGAGTTTGTTGGATCAAATAACCAACTCGCAGATGTGTTAACTAAGTCATTAAGGAGACCTCGGATTGAGTTTATTTGTTCCAAGCTTGGTACATACAATCTGTATGCTCCAGCTTGAGGGGGAGTGTTAGAATAATTATTGTTATATATCATCATTAAGGCTTGTCTGCTAGACCATTAATGAGTTGTACCTAGTTCTGTACCTAGAGGTCTAGTGCAAACTCTTCATGTTCCATGTACTCTTGTGTTTTCAATATTATAGAAGATAATGAGCGGGATTTGTTAAGCCCTCAAGAATATATTTTATCAGTTTTAATCTCAAGTATTTGTTGAGTACTTGATGGCTAGCTATAGACTCACAAGTCACTGCCACCAGGATCATTGTTTTTCCTTAGCTAGATCCCTCTCCCCTCTTTCAATTAGAGTTTTCAGAATACAACAGTTTCAGAACTTGCTATCGATTATTGAATCAGATAGCCTACCTCTCTCTTGTGAGTTACCATCAATAACAATTTTATCAGGCTTAAATAATATGATTTCTGTTTCACTAAGAAAAAAATTAAGGTCATAAATAACCTTTAGGTATTTCAAAACAAGCTGTAAGTCAGAAACAGTTACTACCTAACAAAGCAAATTTATAAACATTTAACAATAAAGGTAACAACTATAAAGAGTGTAGTTGGGGAGTCTGAAACATACCTGTAAAGGCCAAGTCTTCATTGATCCAATTTTTTTCGACCAAATATCATAGAGATTCTTGATTCTTGTGGGATTAATAGAATTATTTTTCACACGATTAAGAAGCTCCATTAAAACCTAAACACAGATCAGCATACATGTTAGTGTTCAGAAACTAACTAGGATATCAAAAATAGAAGAAATTATAACAACAATATATAAAATCATATTAATCAAATAGGTAGCAATTATCATCAAACAAGTAAAAAAAATCAGCACTTGAAAAGCAAATAAAACTTGACACCACACCACATTCCCAATTCCACAAATAATAAGAGCAAGGGGGGGAGAGTACCCAAAATTTAAGACGATTTCTGAAGGGCGAGGTCTCATTAAGTGTGCCCTTTATATAGGCACTGAGAACACCACTGGCTTCGACCCAGTGATGCTGGTTGACGAGTCTGCGCAGCAGGTAGCGCAACCTCGTACGGTGTTCCTTCCTCAGAGGTTTGGGACCCAATCCCAAGACGTAGGAAGGCCTAGTAAGAGACAACAAGATTTTTTTTGCTAGCTTCTCTCGCGAACCCATTTGCCCTTCCTCGTCCACCATGAAACTCTTCCTCTTACGTTGCTTTGATTTCTTCGCCGTGGAACCGTCATTAATGGTCCCAGGTTCTGCGTCTGACAAATCACTTTCCATTGATAACAAACTAGAGACACTTTGCATTATCCCAACACAAGCTTTGCTCGAAAAAATAGTCAACTGCTCTTCAATGTGTGATTCACAACTGATTTCTTTAATTAGAGGCCATCAAAGTGCTTAAACCCTAAACCCTGTTGGTAGGGTTTAAGCACTATGATAATGGGTATTTGTTGGTGGTGTTGGGCGCGTTCTTGGTGGACCGGTATTGCTGAGGTGTCGGTGGTGTATGGTGGTGGTGCTGCCGGTGGGGTTTTCGTTAGTGGCTGATTTGTGGTGCTGACCACTTTGTCAGTGGGCGGTGCTGTGGCTGGATGCGTTCTTGGTTTTTCGTTCTCCTTCACATCAAAGCTGCACAGCCAGAGTAAGTTCATATGCATAGTAATGGACTTTAAGCAAAAGGACTAGTATAAATAAATATAAATATATTTTTACAATTATTAAAATTTAGATAGGAATTAATTTTATGGAAATCTATAATTAACATTTTATTCAACAGTAATTACATCCATTAAAACATTTCATTCAATTAATCACACATTTTTATTCAATTATTGTTTTAACTAATCACTCTAAATTTTATTTAACTAATAATAATAGTATTAATAGTTATTTCCACTTTAAATCATTTTTTTATAATTTAATATCTAATTAAAATTATTTCAACGATCACATTATATATATATATATATATATATATATATATATATATATATATATATATATATATATATATATATATATATATATATATATACACATATTCTTCCAAAATACCTAATCATCAACACTCAACGTCGATCATAGCAAATACAATGTTTTAAGGCAAAGACCAGACGTACACAAAATCTTTCATTCCAGATCTTTATCTAATAACTATAACCACTATGTATTCAAACCAGCATATGACATCAGTGAGTTATATTCAGCAGTAATTTCCATCCATTTAGTCAATTTAAGATCATTACAACCTGTACCCTGTAATCAGCGTAAGATGACCAACAAAGTATGCACAATTATGCATTCTAGATACTAAACAGTCAGCTAGTATAATTATATACACATAGGCCAGGTTTTAAATTTATGTCTTTACCTATTCAAACTTTCAACCAATTAATCCCCTTGACCGAGTTAACGAATTGAGTCTGAGTAGGTACTTTAAACTAACCTAATTAGTCTAATATCAGTAACTACAATTTAGCGATTGCTATGATCCTAATACCCATGATTACTATTAGTTCCTTTTTATACTATCAGACACCCATGCAAAGATACTTCACTATAGCTCATAATATGCAGGGTAACTTAGCTATATATATACATTGCATAAAAAAATTCACGAAGGTTTAATGTTCATTACAATTATTCTAATACGTGAATTACTTAATCTGTCAAACTTGAAATAATCCTAGAATTGGTCCATATACGTTACCAGCAGTTTCACAGAAATTCCCTTTGTCCATATATAAGCTTTCATACCTCATTGTAACAGAACATAGCCTAAAAATTACATTCTCAATAGCCCAATTTCAATGCCCAGTCAATAACCAATGCAATCACCACCTGACTCAAAGCACCTAACAGGAATATAACATTATAAGGCTTGAATTAAACAAATAACATACTCAATTATATTACAGTACCTCATCACGAACATTAATTCACTTTTAAAGTTTATCTAAAGGAAGGCCTAAGCATTGTAGATACCACTCACCGAACCACAAATTTCACTCAAACATTCAAAGGAAACCGATCATATGTTCAGGACCTTTCTTTGTTAATTATAGATTATGCTATGCACTTTAGTGCACTCAAATGGAGCCTACCCTCTAGGACTTGTTCACTTCAACCACGTAACCATGTGACTAAAATAGTATTTTGATGCAAAGCAGAACAACACCAAACTCCAAACCATTCTCGTTAAAACAAAATACATTAAACATATAAGATCAACATTATTTCTGACCAAAAGTCACACTAGCAACCAACAACGTTAATCTCCAAGGCAAAAGAACTCACCCCAACTTGGACTTAAAAACACCTCAATCTAGCTATGCAAAGAGGCACATAACGTACAAATTATCCCTCACTTCAATCATATAATTAAAACCACCTTTAATTTAATAAAATTGACACACATAAACCAGGGTTATGTTCTGCAGCATGCTCAGACCATTCAACCATTGAACTATATATAAAAAAAAAAAAAAACAAGGCAACGTCAATAATACCCATCAGACCCTTTCGTTAAATCCTATATTCTAGACAACACTAAAGTGTTCATTTAATCTAGACTTATAAACATATAGCAATGTTAGTGACTATCATAGTACAAGAGGTATCAGTGCAGCAAGGCATTAGTGTCATGCAAAAAGAACAGCTTACATAAATAACATTTTCAGTTCTCAAGTTATTCTGCCAAGCTTAATTCACATTCTCTCAACCACATTTCATCAGCTGAACATGTATATCATATGAGGGCAATATCATATCCAGGAATTATTAGGCAAATAGAAAGTACACAAATTAATCAGATATCCAAAAAGATAAGCAATCCAAATACAAGTCTGAAATAACGTAATCACTTGTACCTAGCAACAAAATTGCACGCTTTACCCATTCCAATGTGTTTTTAATTCAACTTTTACTCCTAATTAAACCAACCCTCATGCTTTCATACTTTATGACAGTAGAGTAATAATTCTAAAAAAAATTACAGTCCATTCATTTACAAGGTATGTCACCAGTAATAGTCTTGCTTTTATTTATTAACTAACTAATTATTTATGCAAGGTGGGGACACTAAAAGAATGAAATTAAAAAGAAAAGAATTAAAACTAAAATCTGTAAACTGTTTAAAAGAAAATGAAATGAAAGAATAACACCTAAACTAAAATAATGCAATAATGAACTTAAAATGATCTAAACTAATGAATCTGGATATGCAAATTAAAGAAACCTAGATGCTCAACATATGAAACCAATGAACAAATGAATCTCTTAGTTATATGCCTATTCTAGAAATGTAAATGTAAATGCAAAGACTAGATTTTCATGTACAGAACCAAATGGAAAGAGATGTAAAATCACAAATGAAAGAAACAGACTAAGTATATTAGGCAAATGTAAAAATCAGAGGCAAATATGCAATGGATTGGAAGAAAGTCTCAATTACTCTTCAGAATGACATTCTGTAAAAGATGAAGCCCACTTTGGGGTCTTCTTGTTCATATCTCAGAACTTGAAATGGCAATTCTCACTCAATTATCCAACCAATGCACACTTAACTCAGAATTTTACATTCAACCATAGCTAATCATGAAAACCTATTCTAAGAACAAGTAACAGCAATTACCTATGCTAAATTCAATCATCAAGGACAAAAAAAATCAATCCTAAACTACAATTCATCACCATACCCATAACAGAAACCAAATTGATACAATCAATGCAAGAAACATAAAAGGAAAATACGAAAATCTAAAATCAACTTCAGAATGCAAAATTAACAACTACAAAAGCTAGAATCATAAAATCTCGTGCAGAATAAATACCAATCAAACAGAAATGTAAATTGAATTAGAATCTAAAATTGCAAGTAAAATGAACTATCAACAAAGAATAATTCCAGAATGAACTAAGCATCGTAGAAAAAGAAATTTCACTATTTCAGAAACAAGAATTACAAAATAATCGATACAGGAAGACTTCAAGAATGATCCAAGGTCTGTCACCCCATGGAACTCCTCTAAATAATCCAGAATCAAGAACAAGATCTCTATATTCTACGAAAGCGAAATAAACCCTTGCTACTTTGAAAGCAAATGAAAAACCTACACTACTCTCTCAGTCGCGATCTCGAATCGTTCCGTGGAGTCTGTCACCCTCCACTTCTCTCTTCGTTCCTCGTGGAGTCTGTCACCCTCCACTCGATACCCCTCAAAACTATTTACATAACCCCTTTATATAGGGTCTATCAGAACAAGAAAAACAGAAAGGAAAAGAGGAATAGAGAACCTCTGAACGCTTTGACGCTTTGCTTCCCATCGGACGGTCTATTTTCGCCTTCATCACGAGCCCTCCGATCATCTTCTCTTCGGTCAGCTCCGGTCAGCTTTGGTCAGCTTCTTCTCCTTGCAGAACAACCTCTGGTCACGTGCTATGGAGCTCGAACTCTACTCTTCTCTTGCTAACCCTACGCGAGAGGGTGCTCTCTGCCAAATGCATCACGAAGCAAGACCCTTGCAAAGACTCCTCTGCCAGGCCAAAACGTCGTTGCACTAAAGTTCAGCCCAAATTGCAACAGTCCAATCTAATCAGGCCCAATTTCTTCAACCCAACAGCATTGCAGACTAATCCAATTCTTGCGGGAGTGTTGCTCCCTCCACCTCCACAGCCTGCTCTCTCCACCTCCCCAATTATCTTTAATTCCAATTATATCCTTAAAGTTAAAATTTTTTATTTTTATTATTTTATTATTTTAATATTTTAATATTTAAATATAAACTAATATAAATATACATTATTAAAATACATTAAAAAGATATTCAAAAATAATAAAACAAAATATTAAAATATCTAATAAAATAATAACAGAAACATAAAATTAAAACAAAGCTTAAACGGATGACATCCTTCAACGGATGTCAACATCCGTTTAGACTTCGTTTTCATTTTACGTTTTAGGGTTAAAGGATTATTGGAAAGATTATTGGAAGGATTATTGGAAGGGTTTAGGGTTTAGGATTATTGGAAGGATTATGACTACGTACCTGGAGAGGAACCACGACAAGCACATTACACCACAAACGCACTGCACCGAAAGCAAGAGGAAGATTGCTTGATAATTCTTTTCACGATCACTGAGCTTTGCAGAAAAATATTTTACTCATACAAAGAACTACGTAGGTTATCAGTGAAATATGTTATAAATGAGTAAAATTAAAAAACAATAATTCTAAAAATAAAATTTTACTGAGGGGCAAAATAGTAAAGGGAAGGTGGAGGGAGAAGGCTGTGGTGGTGGAGGGAGCAACACCCTTCTTGCGGCTCAAATTGATGCAAATATATGCACGTTGAGAGTTACTCCCTTCTCACCCCAACCACTTCCTACACCTCTCCAATTGTTTTTAATTACAAAATTACCCTTTTCATTTTAATCTTTTACTTTTTTTTATAAAAACACTAAATCCTTAACTCTCATTTTCATTGATAGCCGCGCAGTCCCACCCTCAACTCTCACTTTCTCGCTTTCTCTCCAGATCTGTTTCTTCCCATCCCATTCTCCATATTCGTTTCTCATTCTCCATATCTGTTTCCACTTCATTCATTTTTTCTTCTCCATTTTGGTCCCTTGGTTGTGTGTTCGTGATACGGTGGTGGTGCGGTGGTTCTGAGCACTGTTACGCCTATCGGAGTTTCTCTCTCGTGTCTTTTTGTTAAATAGTTTTGAGAATGAGGGTTTGTGCTTTGGATTTGCGGTTCTGTAATCCATTTCTGGATGATGTTTGTTTTGTGACCCAATGTTGCTTCTGGATTCATGCATGTCGATTTTATGCTTCATTTTTGTCCTAAAATTCTGAGTTCGATGTCTCTTTCAAGTGATTTGTTGTTTTAATTGAAGGGAATATTTAGTATTTAATGAAAATGAAAATATTTATTAGATTGAAAGCATATAACGTGCATTAAACTTTAATGTTATTAAAATTTGTATTCTTAATATTTTAGCTTTTTGAGTTGATAACTTTTGGTTTCCCTCACGGTTCTCTTTCAAAATCGGAGTTGTGTTCTTCCCAAGCATAAACTACTAGAGGATTGCATGTGCATTTTGATTCAACCTAACATATCATTGCATTTGCTCGTGTGTTTCTGTGAATGTAATGTTTAGTCATTTTTTATCGTCTAAGACCATTCTATATCACTTCTATGTTGAGCGGATGTGGATATGCGTTTACTTCTTAAATGGAACATCCGTGATATCGACATCCGTTTGTCCCAACATTCTCTACAACAATCATTTGGTGAAGCTCTCTGATGGGAACAAGATGAGCATAAGACAATTACTTGAAGTAGTGTTTGGGTACAAGCATGATTTTTTGTGTGTTAGAGTTGTTATAGTGGTTGGGTTTTGCATATTTTTCGCAGTTATATTGGCCTTCGCAATTAAATCCTTCAATTTCCAAAGGAGATGATGGGATAAACTTGTTAGTTTTTTAGTACCTCAAAAAATAAGCGTGACATCTGTATAGCGATATGATCATAAGATAGCATTAATAGCCTCTGCTTTTACATGATTCAGGGAAATATTTGTTGTAAAGTGACCTATTATTGGTTCATAAGGTTTGTTAGATATAGAGTCTGATATTACTCATTGGTAAAGACAGATTTTGGTGAAAGTGAACAATAAAATTATATAATTATCTCCTTATTCTGCCACATGATCCTATCCTATACATTATACTTCTGTTTCTTCATTTTTTTAATCTCTTATTGAATGCTTTTAAGAACTCTATTTTCATTTGTATATTGAGGATGTGTGGTGTTTTTAAAATGCAAACAATGAAATAAAGAGAACAACCTCGAATACGACTGCGAAAGAGATTGAAGATTTTAATTACCTGATTTCACTAAAAAATGATTCAAGATGCAAACCAGTGTTGATCTAATATAGCAAAGTTTATAAATAAAATAGTAATATCTCAACTTAATAGCAAGGTAAGAAAGCAACTCTGAAAGCTTAGTGATTAAGCAAAGAATTATACGTTGACATAACAGTTCAGTAAGTTTTCATTCCTCCATAGTCTATGTTTCAAACACAGAAAAATAGGAAAAAAAGTGTAATCGATAAAAAGAAAAAAATTCTATATATATTGATAACAAAATTATAATTGAATAAACAACAATGATTTCATTCAAGCGGTTGGTTGATTGTTGAGTAAAATAATAAAAATAGAAATTAAATATTACTGAAAGATAAAAGAGAAATAAGAAGATGTAGGGAGTAATGTGTGATGGTGGAGGGAGCAACAGTCTTGCAGATTCAGCACAAATTAGATGGGCTCAAATCAACACATCATTTTCACATGGATGTTTCAACATACACCTTCAGTACATCGTGCATCTCAGATAATTTCTTTTTTAACCTTAGTAAATACTTTTTAATTTTTTTTCTTTTTTATTAAAATAACTATACACCCCTTTAACCCTACACCCCTCTAAAAACTTTTTAAAACTATGTTTTTTATTTATAATTTAATAAATATTTAATTTAATTTAAAAATTTAATATTATTTAATATTTTTTCACATTTAATAATTATTAAAATATAATTTATATTATTACAATAATTATATTTTAAAAAATTAAAATTAAAATCACTAAATTAAAAGTAATAAAAATAATAATATAAAATCCAATTTAATATATAAATATATTAAATTATATTAAATTATTAAATTATTATTAAATGTTAAATAGAAAATAAAATTAAAAAAAACATCAGAGACCATTTTAATAATTATTAAAATATAATTTGTATGATTATAATAATTATATAAAAAAATTAAAATTAAAATCACTAAAATAAAAGTAATAAAAATAATAATATAAAATCCAATTTAATATATATAATTATATTAAATTATTAAATTATTATGAAATTTTAAATAGAAAATAAAATTTAAAAAAAAA